CTAATTTAAAATTAAATTCATTTGATGCAAGTAATATAAATAAATTGAAATCTATAGAGAAAGACACATTGGCAAATTTAAGATCATTATCAAAAAATTGTATTAATATTACTATATCCAATAACAAAATGTTGACTTTTATTCATGAAGATGCTTTAAAACATATGAATTTATGTTCAGTAAGTTTTAAGATCTTATTTTCGAATATTTTCAGAGAATCGATTTTAAAAATTAACTTTAACTAAAGTTAAAAAAAAATTAGCATAGAGAAATATTCATTAAGATTTATTTATTGTAAGTCATATTATCGTTTTATTATTCCTGCTTCACATGATTCTTTTACATAACTTCAATTATTTACAATTATAAATAAGATTAATAAATAGTAGATTAATAAATAATAAAATTAATTTTAATAAATAACATTTAATTTATATTTTTATATATCAATTTTTATATAGTTTTTAAAATCGATCTTTCAAAATTATTTTATGAATGTATTATTATTAAAACATTATAATTTAATAATAATAATATATATATATATAATTTTTTGTATTAGTTAGATTTAAGTAACAATCAATTTTCCTATGTGGCACGAAAATTAATTGTACATAATAATAGTTTTTCAACATACAATATTAATTTACAAGGAAATCCGTTTAAATGTAATTGTACACTACAATGGATGTTAAATGATTTAGTTCCAAAACTTTATATTGTTCATCCTCATCTTTTAGATGATTTGAGGTATATATCTTTTAATTATTAAATATCAATTTAATATTGAAAATACAAAAATGTAATATATTAATTATTTTATATATTTTATTATATCGTATAAGGTGTTCTTGGCCTACTCAAATATCGAATATGAGAATGGTACATTGGTATGGATGGAAAAATCAAGTTTTTTGTAATACATCAATTTTTAACGAAAATCTTTCAATAAATGTTGCAAGTATAATAACCACTGAAATAATAAAACTTGATTCTAGTCCTGGTTTATTAGTTATTGTGGGAATAGCGACAACTGTATTAACAATTTTAATACTAACAGGCATCATATGGACACAAAGAATAGCCATAAAAAGAAGAAGAGTTAATAGAAAATTTTAAAATTTATCGTTTTTTAGTTTAATTTATTTTTTTCTTGTGCAATTTCTACACATTTTCTTTAATTTAAAAAATTTTCTCAACTCTTTCTAAAGTCTTAATATATTCACATTTTATAAGAGTTTCGTTTATAAAAATGATTTATGTAATAGTAAACATGTAACATATTTCTTCTTAATTTAATAATGAATCATATCTTTAAATTATCTTAATTTATCTTTAAATTAATAACAATCTATTTAAGAATTATTATTTGTTGAAATATTAAATACTATTAATTAAAAATGTTAATAAATGCATAAATAATAATAAAAAGTCAAATAGTATTAAATTCAATATTTAAAAAAAATTTGTAATTTTATATATCATTATATTTGTACTTATCATATAAGCTATTATATATGTAATTTTGTTTTTATTCAAATTTAATATTATTATTATTGAAAAAATATAAATAAATAAAATGTTATTTCTATATAATATATATATATCCCCTCCTTCCTCTGTGTATGTATGAGCGCGCATAGTAATACTCCTATATTTATTATAAATATCAAAATATTAAAATAAATATACATATATTCATAATTCATACATGTAAATTCGCATAATTATGTATAATATATTTCTAATACAAAAACAGTTTATTTTCAATGAAAATAATTAATTAAGATGAAAATAATTAATTATTTGAATGTTCTTTTTTTATATTTACTTGGCAAAATGCCTTGGAAGTATTGAAATATTTGGAAGGATTTAAGATTTTATTTAATTATTTGTAAATTTTAATTGCAGGACAAATACTTGATTAAATTTAAATCGTAATATTTTGATGATTTCAAACACTGTACATTTGTAATATTATTATCTTAGTATAATACTTTAATAAAATATTTTAATGTAAAAGATTGATCCTCATCAATTATAAGCTAAATTATGTTTATAATTAAATTGATTAATCGTAATAAAAATTTATAATATATTTAAATATTATAATCTATTTTTTTATTCTGCTAACCTAATATTGAAATCTTCAAAATATAATTATCGCTTTGGACGTAATAAGTGAGCTTTGCAATTTGTAATTATATATCATCTATTTGCCAATGACTAGATGTCACTGGAATAGGAGGATTTTCTCTCAATTCATTTAAAAAATTACATATATTTTTATAATATCGCGGTTGACACCATGTTTCGTTATGTGTACCTCCCGAAATCGAAAGTATTTTTTTACATGGACTTTTGCAATTTTTATAAAGATCTTGCATCATATATGGTGGCACTAATGTATCCGCCAGACCAGAAATAAATAGTGTAGGTATTGTTACTGATCGCACTTTGAGAATGGATAAATACTGTAATATATTGATTTAATTATATAACTTAATTATAATAATTATTATTAATTTAATTAAAAATTTTCTTATATAAAATAATTAAATATTTAGAAAAAGTTTACCTTATTTTTATATAAAAAAAGAGGTAAATATTGTAAACATTTTAATCCAAAAAGTAATGCAGCCATATCAGGAATACTAGTAAAAGTATTCTCAAGAATAAGACACCAAATTCTTTGTGAATTTTCTGGTTCTGTAGCTAAGTTAATAGCTACAGCTCCACCTATAATAATATTTAAACATGTTAAATATATGATATATATTATATATTTTTTTTATTTCAAATATATTTACCTAATGATCTACCAAATACAATTATTTCATTTGTATTTATATCAGTTCTACTTGACAAATAATCAATTCCTGCACGAGCATCCATATATAAACCTTCTTCAGATGGTGAACCTTGTGATAAACCATAGCCTCTATATTCTAGCATTAAAATATTACATTGTATAGTATGATATAATCCAACTGCATTTTTTAATCTAAAAAAATTATAGAATTATTTTATTTTTATAAATAAAACTATTGATTTGATATAATAGAATTTTTTGATGTAATAGAATTAATTAAAATCACTTACCTATGTCCTACATTACCAGCATTGCCATGAAGAAATAATAAAGTAGGCACCTTTTTCACTCTATCTTCCGGTTGAGAAATAAAGAACATATGTAACATTGTACCATCTCCTGATCTAATATAAATACTTTGATAAGGTAAATTAAATATTGAAGGTGCAGGAACATATACCCGAGAATTAGCAGGTGACTCTGGACGATATACAAGTTGATCTTCTCTATGATATAATATACCTATAAATATGTATTTGATATTAATTTGATATTAGAGCAGAATTATTGAAATTATTAAATTTACCTGTAGTTGCAAAGCAAAGTAGAAAGAAAGCAGAAAATCCACCATATAACCAATATAGAAGAAAACAGGCAAGTATATAAGTTCCAGAAAAAGCCCAACATTTCATAGCTATGCCTCCTAATAAACGGATGGGTTTACTGCGAGCAAGTCTCATATAAAATGACATGATTGTTATGTGTAGTATCTTCAAAAAATTAATTAATAATCAGCTAAAGCACTTCTATATTTGTTAAATATATAATATGGTACATCTTGATTTCATCATAATATTTCACTGAATTAAACATTCCAGTTATTACTGAAAATTTTATAACCTAAAATTTTTATAAAAATTATTTTATAAACATTATTCATTTCATAAAATTTTGGATTTGAATTGATAAATAAATGCATTTCGCTTTTTACATAAATTTATTATATTAGAATTTACATAGTATAAATGAAATAATTTCAATTTTTAAAGCAATAGAAAATATAGATTAAGAATTTAAATTGCCGCTATGTGTATTTAAATATAAATTCTATTCATAAAGTATTTAGATATCACTTATAAATTATAACTTTTTACAATAAAGAATACTATGTGATTTCATTATAAAAAATTAATTTATGAATAAAAAAGATCGCAATACGATTTTAATAAAGTTCAGTATCGCAAATCGCAAATTTATCACGTGTTATCGTGAATGTCCAATACTGTATTCTGATTACTGTTAATCGATGCTATATAACTAATACCACCTTGTATCTTTATATTCAACACGAGTTCCGTTGTTCGTATACAATTCTTCGTTTATTTAAAGTTACAAATTTATAAATTCTATTTAAAAATTGCTTACAAATAATGGAGAAAATACTAGTTGAACCCCGAGATGGATCTGTGGTGTCATGTTTGTCTAACATTCTCCAAACGAGTGCTGAAGAAGCATTCGCAAGTAGTGATACATTCAAGGTTGGATTATCAGGTGATAAAATTCAAATAAAAATTGCTTACTTGATTTATTAATTTTTAAATATCAAAAAAATTATTAATTATATATAATTAAATATATATTTTTTTATATAGACATTTATATAATATAACAAAAGCTGAAAATTATACATAAATAATAAAATAAATTTATAGGTTACATATGCTGTAAAAAATTATTATAGGTTAACATATATTTTTTTCTTAATATAATTATTTAATTTGCATAATTACTATTTAAATTCTATATTTATTTTATTTTTAATATTTATTTCGTAATTCTTAAATTATAAATTATTTTTTATATTTAAAATGGTAATTTAAGAATAAAATATAAAATGTTTTTTTTATCAGGAGGATCTTTAATATTATTATTGGCACAAAGTTTACCTAATATTAAAACTGATTGGAGTAAATGGAACTTTTTCTTTTGTGATGAAAGAGTTGTTCCCTTTGATAGTAATGATTCCACTTATGGAGAATATAAATCAAATTTGATTGGAAAAATACCAATAACTGAAGATCAATTTATAAAAATTAATCCTGATTTATCTGGTAAAATAATATGTGTCAATCAAAAATCAATTTTTCAATTTCTTTTTTTATAAAATATTTGTTTAATTATACTTATAGCTGAAGATGCTGCAAAAGATTATATTAAGAAGATGTCCGTTTTTTTTCCTCCTGACCGTGTTCCATGTTTTGATGTTCTTCTTTTGGGACTGGGTCTAGATGGACATATATGTTCTCTTTTCCCTGGTCATAAGCTTTTGAATGAAGCCAGTTTATGGGTCTGTCCTATAAATGATTCTCCTAAGCCACCATCATCTCGTATTACTCTTACTCTTCCTGTGATAAATAATGCAAAAAAATGCATATTTGCTGTTACTGGATCTAGCAAAGCAGAAATTATTAAGGTAATTATTTTATTAAAAATTAAAGAAAAATAATTTTTAAATTTATTTAATTTATATGAAAGTTATTATTTTACTTTAAATATTTAATATCTCACAGCGAATTTTGCAAGACAAAGAAAATGTGCCAGCTGCTCGTGTACAACCACACAATGGAGAATTATATTGGATCTTAGATGAAGCTGCTGCAAAATTCTTAGGAACAGCCTAAACAAGATATTCAATGAAATTAACTTACATTCCACGTCAATATTTTATCCTAATTCTCAGAAAATTTCAAATATATAAGCATATATATATATATATATATATATATATATGTGTGTGTGTGTTTCTTATTTAAAACTTAATGAAAAATTGATATTTTTTTATAATTTATTGCTCAATGATTTATATTTTCTTATTATTATTTAATCTATTTTATGTTATTCTGTTATAAATTTTAATATTTATAAATTTCAAATATTTTATTTTTCTATTTGAATTTGTAAACATTCAGTTATAGCAGATATAAAATATAATAAGATAAAGAATTTTTACTAAATCACATTATTAATTATCATCAAATTTCAATTTATATTCATTATATTATTTTAATAAATTTACAAAATCATAAAAAAAAACGAAAATGATAAAAACTGAAACAATATGGATATAATTTCATTGCTAAAGTTAAAAAATATATAATTTTCAGTAATATTTATTTATATATAAAAAGAACATATAAAAAAAAATATATGATAATACATATATTCAACATTATATGATTCGATCATAAATTTATCATAAATTATATTTTAAAAAAATATAAATAAAAAAAAATTATTTTCAAAAAATTAAATCAAAATATAAATAAACAATAAAATGCACAAAAAAATACATAATTTTAATTTATAATTTTGTTAAATTATTAAATTTAATAAATAAAATTATTAAATTGAAATTACTAATTAAAATTTTTATGATAAAAAAATATATACATAAATATTAGAATATCATATTTTTATTATTGATACTGAATAGAATAATATAACACATTGATTTTGTCATAATTTCTATTTAATTCTGCATTCCAATCATGGGAAATGAAAACAATATATTTTGTTTCCAAAAAAAAATATCATAATTATTGTAACTTTTTATACAGAAGTAAATAGATATCTAACATAAATATAATAAAGAATTATGTATGCATTTTGCAAATTATAAAAGATATTCTTTGGTGATTTATATTAAAATGAATAAATATCAATAAATAGGTATGTAACAAAAAATGACTATTTTGATACGATGCATATGTTTTCATATATTATCATATGGAGTTAATTATTAATATATATTAATATAATTTGAGGCAGGAATATCATTTGTAATGTACTTAATATATAACATTCAGTCGAATTCAATAACCAATGTTAATTAGTTAGGAACTAGAATTTTACAATAATTTAATATATTTATATAATATTTAAATATTTATATTTATATAATATTTATATAAGTTATGCTTATATTTTTATTTTTTTTTAATATAAAAACATTATATAATAAATATCAAGTCATAAAAGAAATTAAAAAAAAATTAATTCACAATGATTTTCACAAAACTTAATATCAATTTCATTATAATATATATAATTGCATAATTCATAAAACATTTTAATTTCGTACAATATAAATATATATAATTTTCTTTTTTCAAATTCATATGAATTTTAAGAAATTCAATTTGTAATATAGTGACATCTTATTAACATAAAAACAATCGAAAATTTCATTATATATTTCTATATAATATAATATGTAAAATACTTTAATTACTTTAAAAATTTTAATACTTTAAAAAATTTATAATTTTTAACTTTTTTATGTGATATTTTATTTTTTATATTAAAAATTTAATGAAAAATATAAAAGGATATCTTTAATTCATGAAAATAATATCTAAAGTTTCTTTGCAATTAAATTAAATTGAAATCAAAATTATTATTCTTTATCATTTTCATTTACGATTCATGATTATTTCTGCAATTATTCTAAAAAAAGAAGTAAACAGACACGGATATAATACCATATCTCGATATACTTCTTGGAGCCTAAATATATTATTTATAATACATAGAATATACATAACTCATTGACAAGATTTACTAATGAGAGTATTACTAATGTAAGAACAATATATGTAACAAATGTAATATGCAGAATATTCGTTCGCGAAACAAATTTAACATATAAATTATAAAAGTGCAGTTTTCGCAATAACTCATAGCATAACATCTTGATAAGCGGATT